GGACTTGGTTATTTCAGTCAAGTCTGTTCAACTTATCAATGCACTCCCGTACCAGTTTGTATATTACCTGGTAGGATAGGAGTGCCATTATAGTTGCCTGCCGAAACTGGCGCTTGAAGGATTGTTACATTTTCCCCAGTGTTTCCCAGTATCTTTTAATGCAAAAGTATGATTGCAAAAAGGTTTTCTTAAAAATATCCCAGAAAACTGATTATAATCAAATTTCGTATGGTAACACATCACAGTGTTACCAACTTACAAAGAAATATTTGCGGTGATAGTACATTTAAACGTTTATGAATTTCCAATACAGTCTGTTTCACATATTTCATATAATTTTAAAATTAAAATATTTCAACAAATTATTTATATTATTTTTTTAGTCCATAAAACATTTTTTATTATTTTGCTAAATACCTTCATACTCCCATCAATATTCTTCTACAGATAACTTGATTCGGACACAAAAGTCTGCAAAACCGAGTTTGTCCCTCTAGGTCAGTCTGTTCAAGTGATGTATTGTAGTGCGCGCTGCCTATATAATGTTTATATTTTATAGTTTTTTTTATTGTCAAGTATTTTAATGTTGTCGTTTCTTCATGGCTTTGTTGTCACTTCGCTTGACACACTTTTCGCATATCCGTCCATTCTTCTGCACAGAAATGGCATAATGTGTCTTGCCACTCAACGGTAAACTTCTTTGCAATACGGCGAGGCTTGCGTACTGGGTAACTTTATCAACAGCACGAAAAAAAAGAGAAGCAGGTACTGCCCGGCTAACCGGTATTCCAACAGGTCACCTATTTTTCATTTTGTCTTTTCTTTTCCTTCTATTGCTTGTTTACAATTTCATGATGACATAACTGCAGTACAATGTGTTTATTTGTAGTCAAATTGCTGATGAAAATCCATAGATTAACATCGGAAAATTTTTTAAATTATGAGGTTTCCATATCTTCAATCTCGAAATGTTCGTACTTGTTTATTAAAGACAAATATCGTTATTAATAAATTTTTTGTTGATTCAATTCATTCGATTCAAATTCAAATTTATTTTTATTTGATTGATGTGTGATTTATTTACGAGTATCTTTGACTTAATCATATTAAGTTAATCGTGCTAATTTGTTTTTCATCACATCATTTTATTTTTGGGTTGCAATAAATTAATGCATTTGGGTCACACATAACATTTCATATATGTTATGCTATATTATCATAGATGCCATGGAAATAAAAAAACCCAATGTTTTTAAATGAGAATGGGGTTTCACGTAAAAAAGACATTTCATATTTTGTACTGTTATTAGTAAAGAGTAGAATACATTTGTGGAATAATCTAATTTAAATTTCACACTAATTAATATCAAGTGACTTTGTCTTGCGATTGATGGAAAAGATTTCAAAGAAGTCAAAGTGATTGCCATATGCATAACATACTTTATGCAAGTTAAGTTCTTTTAATTCAAGTATTTCACTTCTTTCTAATTATTCAAAAGTCTTTCTTTAACCGCTGTGTCCAGCTCAGGATGAAAAAAGTTGTTCATCTCCTAATCATCATTCAACTAGAATGTATGTGTTGCGTAGAGTAGAGTCACCAATTTGCATATATTGCAGAACTAAGGATGAAACCGCAGAACACATATTCTCTGAATCCAATAAGGGACCGCCCGAAAGAGAAGTGCTAGCGTAAGTTGGTGTTTTCTCCAAAAGGACGGTGACAGAAAACAAAACAAACTGGGACCCCAAAGCTATGTCTGCCTCAATCCTGTGTTTGAAAAAATTGTATCTCGACAGAAGACAGCTGTAGTAAGCAGATGCATTATACTAAGATGAAGGACAAGATTAAACATCTAAAGCAGTAGCGGAGATTGGATGCAGTTCACACCAATGACTTATAGGGATCCTACCTCGAAGTAATACTTACGTAGTCCTGGGATTAGACAAGGTCTTCGGAAATGAGGGGGAGTGGTTTCAGTTCATGCACATCGGGCACTCACTTTTCGGAGCGCAGGATTGTGGTCAGTGCATAAGGATTAAGAGGGGATATAAAGCGGACAATTACTTCCAATTGTTCATTGTATTACCATAAAAGTTTATGAGTTTAGAGCTATCTGAAGCATTTGTTGCAGTTTACAATGTTCTTTGAGAAAAGGTAATTGACAAAGATCCGCACGATGATTGATAAACTTACTTAATAATAGGGACTATAATATGGATGTACAATTTTCATATAAGCTTTCTTTTAGTATTTATATTCTGTTCCAAATAAAGTGAGCTGTTCTATGAATGACTGGAGATCAATTTGATTCATATAGTGATATAAATCTAAAGGAGCTTAAAATTCTCATGATATTATGATATATGAATGCATCTAATATCTCAGAATTGCTTTAAAATAGTTTCATATACAATATAAAAGTACTTTTAATACATTTTATGTTACCTACTTTATTATTGTATTAACCCATCCATCTGTTTTGCACATTTATCTAATATAATTCATAGGTTACCTCACTGAATAAGGCAACGAAATTTCTTCCTAAATTAAAAAAATAAGTAAAAATTTATATTGTCACCACGTCTGCAAATTGTAAAATTATAACAAATTTAGAGCTTTTCCAAGCGTTTATCTCTGTTGACATAACCTATGCCAACTACGCTTTTAATAGTGCATCACTTGAAATGAAAAAATACAGTGGAACAAATATGCAAATACTTACATGTTTTATATGAATATTGAGATATATTAACCAAGACTCTTGGATGGTTGATTGTAAATACCGACCTCGTAAATGACGCCTCTTAGAGTTAGAATTAGACAGAGTAGCAGCTTCCAATGGAGCGGAGCACCGACACCATAGTTGTTCTTTTGTACTGCAACTGACCCTAACCAAACAGAAGACAATTCGCCTTACGAATGAAAGTCAAAATGTCAGCCGCTGAGGACCTCCGAATGTCAAAAGAGGATAGTAGTTCTCAACCCAGTGACCTCCTACTGGCTCAGATCAAGTCTGAGCACAATCACAGAGAATGTGACTGCTCAGTCACATTATGCACAATCTAGCTGACTAGCTGAATGTGAGCGAGTAGATTCGAGTAGTGACAATTGATAAAGCATTGATTCATTACTTCACATTTGAGGGAAAACAACAAGGCGGTAGCGTTTCCAAACGTACACAAACTCAACAATCGGAATTCAAGGGGAATAATTTTCATAGACTATTTGGAAAAAGGAAAAGCATTAACATAAGACTAATATTGCATATGAAATCTGCAAGCAAGCATTAACATGGAATCCTTAAGGAAGCAGAAGACCTGGTAGGCCCAAGCAAACGTGGAAGCGCAAACTAGAGAAAGAAACCTTTGGTGAAATTAAAACTGTGACAAGAAATCGTGACAGTTGGAAAAATTTCGTTATGGCCCAATGTTCCCCCGGGAAACGTACTGGAATGAATGAATATTGCATATTATTGGATTGATCGAATGAGAAAATCAAGAAAATGCGACTACAATTGTTGAAGGAGAAAATGTTGTTTTAGCAGGTTAACGCACCCGCTCTCAAGTCAATGAGAACCATGGCAAAATTAGATGAATTACGGTACTAATTCTTTCTTCACCCTCCGTATGCTTCAGATATGGCTCTCAGTGGCTATTACTTGTTTCGAAACTTAAAACGTTGGCTGCAAGGAAAAAGATTTGCATTAAATATTGAAATGGAATGGGAAAGTGACGTGTTTTTTGGAGGACTTGATAAATCGTATTATTTAAAAGGTTTCCAAATATTGAATGATCGTTGGTTGATCGGTGTGTTGAGCTAAAAGGGATCTATATGGAAGTATAAAATATAATTTTCCAAAAAAAAAAATGCGTTTTTATTGCTTAGTTTGGGTATTTGTCACTCCAAGTAGTGTAAGCGAAAATGATCACCTTGTCCCACTGTGCTCATTTGGGACTTTGGGGTTTTCAATATTTGCAGCTGAACTCATAAAAGCGAAGCTCCACACGTTAAATTAATGACTTGTTGCATTTGCTCAACATGAGCAGAATTAATTTATCGCAAATACTTTGTTTTATTGTTGAGTTTATAAGCAAATGATTTGCTTTAAAAACGAAAATTAAAATTCAATTTAGCGAAATGAAACTAACAAACACTGGCGTGTGCACGTAATTGAAGATTTTTAAATGCTCGTACATTTTCCATTTTATTTTTTTTTTATGTTTTCTTTCCTTAGCAAATTTATGTGCTATTAATTATATAATGAAATGTGGTTTAATGCATTTTCCATTTTCCATTTTCCGTATTTTAATTTGAACGAAAAATTCCTCAAGCAAAATTGGGTCAACTTTGGTATGCTTGGACTGAAATGTGTTAAGACATTTTTAATAAAAAATTGTAAGATTAGCTTTTGCATACAGTCAAGTAAAACTTTCACTTAATTATTTAAATGTGTTAATTTTTCATAATTTTAAAATATAATTCGCAATTTTCCAACCTAAGCGTAATTAATATAAAGTCATTCCAAGCCATATTTTCTTCTTCTTTATTTTGTACTTAATTGTAATTTAAATGTTAATTAGCTAAATTATTCAAAAAAGTAAAACAGTTTCGATTACATTTTGCTTTGATTTTGTTAGAAATTTGAATATATTATATTAGCAAAAAGCTATATAACGTCAATGGGCCTATTTTAAATCTGCATAAGTCAACATCTATGCCTGGCATCGCATCATGACTTGATGTAAGGCTCAGTACATGCAGGGCTCAGTATTGGGAAAAGGAATTTCATTAATTTTGTTTTTAATATCAAAAGGTCAAATTATGCCACAAAGTTTATTTACAAAATGAAAAATGAGCACAACATTTTTATTAAAAAAAAATAAAATAGAAAAGACAAAATATTTATAAATTCATTTTCTTACTTAATTTCATGAAATTTCATCACGCCCATCGACGAATCATCCAAACCGTCAATGCTCATAAAATTTGGCATACGCAGCCTAAATTAATACGAAAGTATGGCTACCCTTCGGAGACGCACACCGTTGTCACGAAGGATGGCTACATACTGGAAATGCATCGCATACCGAAGCGTGGTGCCCAGCCGGTCTTATTGATGCATGGCATACTAGATACATCAGCGACATGGGTGCTAATGGGGCCAAAATCAGGATTGGGTAAGTTTGCGTAGTTTTAATTTATGTGCGCTATTGTAATCTTAAATTCAGAAATTCTTTCAAATTAGGACGACGTTGGTGTTATTGATAAAAAGAGATTTCCGATACCCTACACACAGTGTGTGGTTAACAAAATAATAGCTTGATTTAGTAAAAACGTCATGAATACATTAAATGAATAATAATGAATATTAAATATAGCATATAGTGATATTATAATTTACAATAATAGATATATATATAAGTGATAGCGGATACTTTTTATATCTGATAACTACTCTATTTAGTAGTTAACGGTCGATTTTTTTTCATTTAAAAATGAAAATGAAGAGATACGAACGATACTGTAATAAAACTGATTGTGAGTCATAATTTTGCATATTTTAATTATATATAATATATATATATTATAAATATATATATATATATATATATATATATATATATATATATATATATATATATATATAAAACATCGACCGGTAACTACTACTAAATAGAGTAGTTATACTAGAGAATATATACTAGAGATATATACTACTAGAGAGAAGTTATATCCGCCTTATAAAAAGTATTCATTATCATTTGGCACATTTTTAAATAAAAATTTTCGTCACTGAAAATTATTTTTAATCAAATATATGTTGGACCTTTATTATTTATGACCTATTGTCATTTTCGGGTAGTTTCATAATTCCATCGGTGTACAACTCTTTTGCTTTATCAGCGAAAAGTTTGGCCAACAAATTTTGAGTGGCTCTTGAAACGTCCAATTTTTTTTCCATAAAAAGAATTTTACAGAGCCTAAGACAAATGGATTTAAAACGATGCAGGATTTGAGGTATACGGTGGATGCTTAACTTTCCAAACAAGTTCTGTCAATTTACTTTTAACAAAGGAGTGCGTGGCTTGTCGTTGTCATGATAGAACTTAACCCTTTCTCTGTTAACCAATTCTGTTCAATTTTTCTTAATTGTTTCATTTAAGTGGTGGAGTTGTTAGTATTAGAGATCCAAATTAATCGTTGTACTAGCTCCTAATAGACAATTGCGTTATAGACCAACCAAACAGTAAAACTAATGTTTTTCTTATCAATCCAAGGTTTGTAGTCGTTTGTGGAGGGTCACCGATTTTTGAACATGATCACTTGCGTTAAATGTTCTCGTATTGGATCTATTTTTGTTCGATTGTAATGATTTGGTGCAAAACTTGTTATCCTTCATCGCAACCCAACAGCGTTAATTCATATGTCTTTTCTAAAAGTTTCTAAAAGTGATGTAGGATTAGGATTAGGATTAGGATTTGTAGTATTTTGAAAAATATTTTACTAATGTATATTTTATATATATATTTATATATATAATATATGTAAGGGTATAAAAATACTTTAATTAAAAAATTAAACACTCTTTGGAGAGTGCCATATCTTAACATATATATTAATATATATGATGTAAACAATTACCGTTTACAAAATAACGGTTTCGACCCCCTGACAATCCATGTAAAGTCTATCGCAAATTCTCTTTTGAACTTAGCGTAACCTACCGATTACAATAGTTTATTCACAATCTCTCTGCATATTATAAATAAAAAAAATTTTTAAAGATGAAAGGGATCCTATAAGTAAATGTAATCAGTATTTTCTTATGCATGCAGAGGGTATTCAAAGAACTTAATAGATTAATAAATTTTACTAGTTGTTATTTTCTACTTGTTTCTTTTAATGTCATGAATTTTAATTAAGTTTATATGGTTGTGAATTTTCTGAATAATATTCATTATGAAATAACTTTTTCAATACCACCTAGGCTATGTGCTCTCAGATTTGGGTTATGATGTTTGGATGGGAAATTCGCGTGGCAATCGTTATTCTAAAAATCATACTAGTCTTAATAGTGATTATCAAGAATTTTGGGATTTCACATTTCATGAAATGGGCAAATATGATTTACCAGCAAATATTGATTACATTCTCAGCAAAACAGGCTATGAGCAACTACACTATATCGGACATTCGCAGGTGAGTTGAGTTGGGTTTAAAACGTGCCCAGCTTACCTTATGGCACATTAAAATTTTTTAATTATCTATTTTAATTGAATATTTCTAATCTCGTTTTCTACAATCGATAGGGTACCGCTATATTTTGGGTCCTTTGCTCCGAACAACCTTCATACACACAAAAAATTACCTCAATGCATGCGCTTGCCCCAATTGCTTTCATCTCCGACATGAAGAGTCCACTCTTCCGCACGTTAGTATTATTTTTGGACTTCCTTACCGTAAGTATTCCTTCCCTAAAACCAAATAGAACCAAAATACTAAAAAAAAAAGAATTCATACATTCAGCAAGAAATATGTAAAACTTTTTTTTTAAATAAAATTAAATATGCCAAAAATTCACAAACGTCACGAGGTGTTGACTGAAAAAATATTTGTTTGCAAACAATCCATTTGTAGTTCGCATAACACTAACACCCACAGTCACAGTTACAGTCACATTTATAGTCACATTCACAGTCACAGTCACAGTCACACTCCCCATCAACGACTACGGTTCCATGTTTCGCAGTTTTCTATTTTGTTTAATGAATTTTCAGGCCGCAACACGTATGCTTCGCATTACAGAATTCATGCCAAACACCAAATTCCTCGTCGACCACAGCCAAGTTGTTTGCCATGACAATGCCATGACGCAGGATGTGTGCTCTAATATACTGTTCCTGGTCGCCGGTTACAATTCGGAACAGTTGAATAAGGTATGTATCTATGTGTGAATTTGTCTACTCTTATACATATGAATAGGTATCAGGAAGGTTATAAGCCTCGCACTCATATGTCTATAACTAAAAACAGTGGTGCCAACTAGAGGAAACTTGACCGAGTTTTCTATTTCTATTTTCTATTTATCTATTTATCTAACAAAGAACAGAATATAATTCTGATACTAAAAATATAAAGAAACAGTTATAGATAATAAAGAATCAATTATATTACTTTTAATATAATTATTTCATTATTAATTAGTACGCATCTATAAAATAACATGTATACCATAAGTTGAATCTGAAGTTGGAACTATTTTTAGTAGTAAAGAACTGGTGTCTGCTTTATTGATAGACTCAATTATGCTATGTTATATTTGTAATCAAGTTAAGTAGAGACAGATCATTATATAGAAATAAGATGATCAAATTTGGACTACATTTCTTAAACATCATAGTGATCAACTAGTATATTGATTCTAATTCTTAAAGTTGTAAGACGCATCACTATGTTTACTTACCTAACGATGTATATAAAGCTCAAACACCGTAATCATAATTTAATTAAATCTTAGTTTCGCTCTCACAGTCAATATAAAATTTTTAATTTACTTTGAAAACAATAACAATGTAACATTGAATGTGACCATGAGTGTCTGCATAACATAGCCTTAATGTAATACTTTGTAAATAATATGTTAATAATGATGATGTTCTCTTCAACAAATCTTCTAAATATATGATGTTGCATACAACATTGCTAATCAGTAATCACTAATACTAATCACTAATGAAAACTTAGAGACAAATTCTCAAAAATCAAAGAGTCCGTCATCAAAGCCAGACTACACGTCAAAAAAGAGAAGACTAAATACATGCTGTAATTAACATAATTCTAATTTGTCTAACCCTTTAATATCGGAAATACTTAGTTTAAACTTAAACTTAAATACTTAAATATATTTGTACTAAATAAAATATATAAAATAAATAAATAAATAAAATAAAGAAAATTAATATTATTAATTAGAATTAGAGAACTGAATACATAGGAATGGTAAACACTTATTTTTTTCAAAGTCTCTATTCTTCCGGAAACTTATTTCTAACATTTAGTAATCTTCTGTGAAATTCAGCAAAAATTATATTTGGGCAGATCTTTAAAGGAGACCTATACAAAAGATAATACGATATAAAAACTGGTCAACTTTAAGATATTATGTGTATTTTGAAAAATCGCCTTTAAGAGATCTTGGGTCTCTTATGCATATAAATGACTACAATAAATTTAAATAAATTTAAAGGATAGGAATATGAGTACCAAATAAGGGCTCAACTGAAATTATTGATTACATACAGTCAAAAATTACTTAAAAATAATACAAATTTGAAACTACGATATACAATCTTTGTTGAACAGATAATATGGAAAGAAAACCTGAAGGAAACTTTGACCCACTGAGAACTATGACTTTGTGAAGTATTGGAATAACAACAAATACATTCTTTTTATTTTTGAAATGAGATGGCATAGGAAGGACTTCGAGTACTCTCACTAATATCGAAGCAATTCTAAATAGAATCGAACTGTAAGGACTAGTGAAACCAAGTTATTAAGTTACAGGGTAATGAAACTCTAGACCATGCTCTAGACCTAGACCATCTTAATTAATGGTAAAAATCAACCTCTATTATGAATAGTAATAAATTGAGCATTAAAATTAAATTTATGATTCCCTGTAAGAGGCGCCCCTTCAATGATAAGTAATTGCTACGCCTCTGGTGTGTAACGCATTTGTGTAGCGTTGAATTGAAAACTTTTGTGGTCGAGACAATTACGCGAATTGTGCGTTCCGTACTTGACTTTTTCCGCGAATTGCGAATAGCGCAGCTTAATTAAGTTACTGCCCGTTAATGGACCACGTTCCGAGTGTTTCGAATTCATTTAATTTTTTGGAGCTTTACCAAATTGTGGTTTGTGCTGAAAACCTAACGAATTTTTTTAAAACTTTAATAGTCGTAAAGTGTGAAAAAATTATTTCTGAAATGTTTTAAATTCGAAGGTAGGAATTTGAATTTTCTCAATTTTTTTACAAAACACTCTTGTCTGTTGAAAAACATTTTTAATTTGCACTTTGATGAGAACACTTGTCTTCCCTGAAGTGTTCCATAAAGCACTCGGCTAGTTTAAAGTTAGCTTTCACTCTAATATGTACAGAAAAACGTTTGTAGAGTGTTGATAAATTAATATAATTTCCACATCCTATATATACACTTCCACTTCATCCACTTCAAACACTGGCCTACATGTTTGATAGAAGCAATTTCTAAGGATGTTAAAAATGTCTAAGTAAATCATCGTGTCCAATACGTAACAACATTAAAATTCACTCATATGAGTAGAATAGACAGGATCTGATTTTAAAGATATCATTGACACAGCGGGCACGGCTGACACGGCTGAAAAATGAATAGTAAAATTTATTGGGAAAGTATTGCCAAATTCCCAAATTCAGTTGTCTTGAAATTATTTTTTATATTTAATTATTCATAAATAATTTTTTAACACTGCAAGTATACCAATGATTAAACTCGTCTCCATCCATATGTTTAAATCAAATCATCATCAAATTTAACATGAAATAATGATTTTATTTCATATCATCAAGATATCACGTTTGACATTGTTTATTTATATCTAGTCAAAATATTATCAACTCATTTTTTTTGACAAAGTTCAGTCTTATTCATCATATATTCTCTTTTAACTATGAAACAAGTCCAAGCTTGTCCAGAACCAAGCTTAAGTTTTTGGAACCTTTTTTAGCACACTCAGCGATATCTCCAGTGTTAGCATTGATCAAACTCTAGCCTTAATAAATGCTTCTGGCTGACTGTAGCTTGACTCTTTCTTCTACCCCTTACTGCGAGAAATTGTGGAATCAAAACGACTTTCTTAGCTTATTGAAGAGGATGTATTTATCCATCGATTTCATCTAGCGTAACCTATAAAACAATTATTTCAGTGCTCTTCTAACATTTCTATAACCTCTCCGAATGACTACTGGATTTTTAAACACTTTGGTTGATATTTGCAGTTAGTTAGTAGTTCCCTTAGTTAACAAATCTCTAGACTACGTCGAGTCCAGTTAATGGTTACATATCGTAGAAAAAGAACCTTTATATTAAGTATAAATAATAATAATAAATAAAGTGCTCAAATCATCAAGACGTTGCCTTTTTTTGATCAGCTATATCGAAACCTAATATCCATTTTGATGACATATTATTTTTTTATAAATTTTTTTTATTAATGTTTTGATTAATAAATTATTAATTCTTACTTTTAATTGTTATTTTTCTTATCATTACTCGCTAATTTTTATTTATTACAATTCGTTATTATTTATAACTTTTAATTGTTATTATATTTAATTAATATATTATTTAATTTATATTTTTTAATTCTAAATGTAATTAATTTACTTATTTGAAATTTTTAATTATAATTTTAAGTTGGTGTAATATATTACCATTTTTGTTGTTGTTGTTTTTATCTATTTTTAATTTCAAATAAATATTAATGTAATGCTTTCCTATATTTTTATAGACTATGCTGCCAGTAATGCTTAGCCATACTCCATCTGGTGCTTCCATTAAACAATTAGAACATTTCGGTCAATTAATGAAATCTGGACATTTTCGTAAATTTGATCGTGGCTATTTACGCAATCAGCTCGAATACAACCGTGTGAGTCCACCAGATTACGATTTATCCAAGGTGAAGGTGCCGGTGGCCTTATATTACTCCATAAATGATATGCTTGTCTCCACGACGGGTGTGGATCATTTGGCACGCGAACTACCAAATGTGATTGATAAATATCTCGTGCCAATGGAAAAATTCAATCATTTGGACTTTTTATGGGCGATCGATGTTAAGTCATTGGTCTATAATCGTCTCATACGAAACATAAGACGTGTCGAGAATTACAAACAAAAACATAATGCCAATATGCAAATCATACATTCAAATCCAAATTTGAATGTAAATTCAAACACAAATCCAAACACAAATGCAAATACAAATGCAAATACAAATTTAAGCCAAAACCAAAATCAAACTCCAAATATGAATCCGCAGCAAAAGACAAATACGCATGCGGAAAGTGCTAAGCCGAGTGCGTGAGGTTAATTAAAAAATTTGTTACCGCATAAAAAATTAATTTTTTTTTGTCAAAATTGCAATTTTATTAAATTAAAAATACATATGTATTTTTTTTTTATTTTGTTATCAATTCATATTTGATTTTATTACGATTTTTTTAATATTTTTTAAACGTAATTATTGACTGTGATGATATATATACAAAATGTCTAGAAGCGTTTCAGCTGTTTTAAGCCTCATGAACTCATCACCTAATCTTTTATATAATATACTTAAATATAATATAAATATAAATAGTTAAAAAATTTTTAAAAATATACAAAAAAAAAGAAACAAAATTGCCTATAATATAAAGATTTTTATAATAATAAAAATATATAATAATTATCCTTTTCTATCCTGACTAAATATACATTTTAATTATTATTTTTTATTATTATAATTTTTTTTTTATATTGAGTACAGAAAACACTTTTATTTTAAGCATTTAAAAATTAAAATTCTTAATTTTAATTATATTTTTTAATTATTTATTTTAAATATAATTTACCAAAGTTAGTTTGAAGCAATGTGGTTACAAAATTTTTCTTGAGAGTATAAATAAATCACAATATATAAATCACAAATCTAAAACTATTTGTAATAAACTATCTAAAAATTTAATGTATATGGTATATAGTATATAATTATTATGGAAGTCGTTTAAATTTAAAACCAGAATAAATTGTTTTTTATTGTATAAAAAAAAAAATTGAATTAAAAATTAATAGAAATGATTAATTATATTACAAAAATTGTATAGAAAAAATCCTTAATGTGTTTAATTCGATATTCGATATTTTGTAAACAAAATAAAGTCATATATTTAATATATTAAATATATGTTTATATTTTTGGTAGCAACAAAAATTATAAAAAATGAAATATTATTTCAGATATATTAACAAGAAATATGTTTAAAATAATAAAAAGATATATATATGGCATTAATGTTAAGTTATTCAGTTCAAAATATAATAACAAAATTATTATCAGAATATGGTTGAAGACACTTTAATTCTTATTTTAAAAAAAAATTTTTTTTTCAAATCGCTTGATGAATAATTAATACTTAATAAAAAAAGCATTTAAAATATAAATAAAAATACAAATAATTTTAAAAATTTTAATACAATATTATATATTAAAATTGTTATAATTATTAGAATTATTATTATTATAATTATTAATTATTATTATTATGATTTTTAATTATTATCATTTGTATTTGTTTTTTATAAGTCTTTTTCTAAAATTTTGAATTAATAAGTAATTATATATAGTTATTCACTATTTATACAAACAATATTATTACATATATACTTCGAAAGCATATACACTCGTTTACATATATCTTCTATATATATATCGTTTCACGAGTTTTATTACGAATTTGAAGATTTAACTTTTTAACTTAAAGTCTTGTGAAAATATATTAAAACAGCAAAGATCCAAAATTTTTCTTAAAATTAATTCAATTTTAAAAATTTTAATAAACTAATTTTTTGTATTAAATGTAAAGAAAATTTTTCTAATATAAATATATATATAGCCCTCACATATATAGTCGATTTATTCATCTTTTATATATTTAATTTGAATTGTTTGTTAAAAAAAATAAATACTTAAGAATTCGATTGTACTTATTAATTAAAAATAAATATTATAAAAAAAATTAGTTACTAAAAACACATAACAATATGTAAAATATTATTAATTTTTATTACAAATAATTATTAAGGAGCAATTTAAACACATTCAGCGGTTGTTAAGTGATCATTGTTATAAAATGGCAAACGTTAAAGTAAATAATATTGTTATCTCAGAACCATAAAATAGATAGCCTTATATGTACATATGTATGCTTATTGATCAATTTAATAAAACAGAAATAGAGTTGCTCCGAAGACAACTTACGACGATTGTCGTTTATATATTAATATAAAAAATAATATATTATTATAAATAATAATATTTTTTTTAAAATAAGTTGACCATGTAAGCCATTTACAAATAAAACGCTATATCTAATTATAAGCATCTTCACGATTTTTATTTAGCATGCTAAACTCATGCTAAATTGTTTTCATCAAACTACAAAATTGTTAAATAGCATTATTAAAGTCGAACACTGTACTGTTGAGTAGAATTGAACGTAATAATACAAAGAAAATTTTTTTATAAACGCTTTATTTCTCTATTCAACAGTTCCAACAGTTATAGTCAATAGCTGATACAACATTTCTAATTTAAGTCTTATCAAATAATTTACTAGTGTCATATTTTGACACTTCGTACAAAATATCTTAAATAATGTTTTCACTTCTCTCATTTAGGCAGTTTGCTCATAAAGGCCGCTAATAAAGATAATATAAAACACAAAGCGCTTCATTATAAATGAGCTCATTATAAATAAATCAACTTATTTAAGGCAATTACAACCCTTAAAAATAAATTTTCTCTTGTAGGAAACTAAGAAAATTTTAAATACTTATTGTATGTTTAATATGTAAAATGTAAACCAGCAAGCTATTTCACATGCATAAATCAGCTTATGCTAATGGAAACGACCAAATCTTAAATTCGTTAACATAAGCAGTGTTAGTTGCAGTGGAAATATGATATAAAAAACATTTTAACACTTTAAGAATTTAGCTATTTAGCACGAATTTACCATACTCAATAAAAATCGTGAAGGAGCTTATTTAAAATATACCTTAATGCACTTCTTTCTTTAATGTTTTATACAATTGCTATATAAAAAAACAATAATAAATATTTTATAATATTTTGTTTTAAGAGATAACTCGTTTAAAATTTAAATAATTATATATAACAGAAGAAAACCGTAGCAATGCAATTAAATTTTCGGAATATAAGAATTACAATTAAAGCCTTCGAAATTAAGATTAATTGCCATATTTGTATCGAAATATTGCATATGCAACAGGTTCAACTATAAACAAAAAAGAAAAAAAGAAATTAAATATAATTATAAAAATTTTTATCTAAAAGTAATATAAATATACTTTTGTAAATATATCTATGTATATACATATATATTATATAGTGACTATTTTGAATACTCTTTATATTTTTTTTGCCCACTGTAAGCTTTTTACTTAAGCATATAATGTAATTTTTTTATATATAAGTTTACTATTTTTTACTATATAATAAATAAATAACAGTATAAAGCCAACAACGTAAAATTTTTATTTCTATTCTCCAATAAAACATTGGGTGGCTTGACTACCAGCATATTATTTTAAGTTCAAGGAAGAGCTAAGTTAACTATAGACTATATAGATAGTCTGATTTAATTGAATTATAATTTTTAAAACTATTATATCTTTTTCCTTTAAATTAAATATTATTTAATTAAAAACAAAAATCAATTAAGAATTTATCAATATGGCCGCATATATCACGAACTACGGTCCCGAGTAGAACTAATAGGTTGTGTGAAACTGAACTTGCGGGATCTGCATTAATTCACGAAGACGAAGAATTTCCCTAAGCATATTAACACTCTGCTATTTATAAGAGAAGAGAAGACCACGGTACGGTTGAAAATAATTATAGAATGATATATTTTAGCAATTATCAATTGTCGCATCCTTTTTGAGAACACGCAGAATATTGTCAAAGTATCTAAATTTTGTCACCAAAAGGTCCCTAAAACTTGAGTATCGTTAAAAAATACCAAAAATTTTATCTCTTACGAGTACAAGTTCCAAATATTTATGTGTAAGAGCGTATAAAGAAAGACTTTGTTTCTAGAATATCGGTAAATGTTTTTTCTCTTAGTCTTATGAAGGTATTCGTAAGTATCAAAAAGTTTATCTGTGCCATAAAGCAAAATTCTATAAATGGGTCATTCTTTTACAAACCGTACAATACAAATAATTTTGTATTTTGGATTTTGGCAAAAAATCACCAAATGAGTTCCTTTCATGAAATAAGAATACCCGTATTTAGGAAAAAATTTTTTTAATATTTTTTCTAAGAGATATGGACACATGAGGTTTTGAGAATTGACATTGTAAACACATTTTTAAATGGCTATAGCTCAGGCTCTATAAATGGTAGAAACTTGAAATTTGCTCCGTGGTAAAGAAAATTTATTGAACTTTTATAAAATTATTTGAACAATTAAGATTGTTTATATTAGTATTAGAAGTTAACATTAATCGTTAAATTCAAAAACAAAATTTTTTAAATATATCTCCAGAATTTTCATTTTTTATATTTTATTTAGATTCAGTTTTAAATTTTACTGCGAAAAAAAATATTCAAGACGATATTATATTTTAAAATCTTTAAAATTTTTTTTTTCTTCCGCAAAACACATCAAGCCCATGCAAACTATATTTCCATTTAATGAATTTTCAAAAAATATACTACAAATATTCTAATATAATGTTTTTGATTTCGATTAGTAATAAGATTATACATAAAACTCAAAAATTTCAGGACGATATTGTAATTAGAAGTACTTTTAAAAAATCTGATTTATCTAACACATACACACGATTTTTCAGTAAAAAAAAAGAGTAATATGACACACAAATTTTCTTTCTATTCAGATTAAGCAACAAATTCTACTTTAGAAATAAATATTTCCAGTGTGATATTGCTTTTAGAAGTAATTAAAAAAAATTAATTTATCTGGCGTACTTCACGTCACTCATACGCACCATAGTACCATAAAATCAATTTTCGAAGGAAAACGATACAAAAATTTTTACTTTTTTTTTTCTGAAGTGACTTTATCATTACAATCTACTTAAAATTAAAACCTTTTAGGACGTTAGTCTTCTCACAAGTATTTTTATTGAATAGCATAAATTATTTTCACGTCATCTCTATTTTTAAATCACGAACATAAAATTTTCAATATTCCTTACGATAACTTCAACAATAGCGATGAAGAAGATGACCTACATCAATTAGAGAATCTACACGAAAAATTTAATCGCACAACATATAGAACTATGAAAATAAAAGTATTGGGTGTGATACACCTTTCCGAAAGGTGTATTGCTAAAAAACGTGCTTCAGGAAAATGAATCTAAGAAAATAACCTTTAAAGCCTTTTAGTAAATTTATGAGTTTTTGATCAAATGTGTTATAAATCTAAACTAAGTCTCTTAAGTAAAATACGCTTAAACTGATTGAATGTCAACTGAAACGGTACGGGGTAGTCCAGTAAATTCAGGGAGAAAATCTAACTAACATGAAAAATAATCCATCATCATCTGGAATTAATTTAAGACAGCCTTTAATTTCAGTTTAGAAGTAACTCTAACAAAAGCTATTCTAAAAGTGCTATAAAAAAGATTAGTAATCTTATAAATACTTATAATTCTCAGAAACTTCTCAGTTTTATTTCTATAACTGATTTTAAAAATATTCTATTAATTGTATTTGAAGATTTCCTATTAATATAAACCATAATAATTTTTTTACAAAGTGCAATGTCAGTATATGCACTCGGGAATTTTGTAATTGTGATTGAAATAATAAGTTTATAAGCCTTTAATACAAAACTATATACTTTTAAAATGTAACAAATGGTATATATAAATTTCTGTCAAAATTATTAGTTGGGTTAAAATTATTCTATAATGTCCCCATACGTGTGTAAATCATAGATCATGTAGAGATAGGTTAAAATTGCATATTTTCATATAACACTTTATATCAGTAACATGAAGTATACCATCTCAGAAATCATCAAAGCAATAACCATCCACTTACGACTGCCTTCATAAGACTAAGAGAAAAAATATTTAGCGATATTCTTGAAACAAAGTCTTTTTAAACGCTCTTACACATGAATATGTGTAGGCCTATGGCACAACGATATCCAGGGCTATGTTACTGAATAGATTTACAAAATATTGCAAGTTACTTACTTGAACTAGATAGAATGAATAGTTTGTGAATGAATGACCCATATGCAATATACAATCAATCAAAGAATATGCCTTACCTTACCATATATACATAAGATTTCTATTGTCTTAAAGCGTAACAATTTCACATCAGGGTCTTCACTTCTTTGCTTTCTAATGAACCTTTTTTATTTATATGTGTTTGATAAAGTAACTAATAATTTCATAAAAAAAATCCTTAAGCTTAGGGTTATATATAAAAAGTAGAACTGTTCCGCAAACACCGATTAGAGACGCTTTGGGTCATAGATTTCTCATTATAGATTTCAGACATTTACGCTTCGAATATAGTACTTTCTTTTACAGCTCTTTATGCAGATTTCAAAATCGATTAAAATATTATCTGAAAACGGAACAATTCTATATTCCTTGAAATTAGCGGGTCAGAAAGGTTACAAACAGTACTTATGGTTACATTTCATATACATATTATAATGCTATATTTTCTATTAAAGTTAAACAGACCAATAACTTTCAAAGTGTTAAGAGTATTACAAAAATTACAAAAAAAAAAGCATGACTTTAGGCTAAAAATATTGTTACTATATGCTTCAAAATTAAACACCCATAGAGCTACATATAATACAAAGTTCCAATAATTGAAAACATACAATAAATATATCACATATTCTAGTTAGGATTAGGTTTAATATCATTTCTGACAATATAACGAATTTTAACAAAGCCCTATTAAGAGAGTTGAGAACATTATATACGTTATGCAATATTATGGTCTACAGAAATGTATATAGACTTTGTCTTTTTAAGTCAAGGGCTATTTTTAAGCCCTTGTGCGATTCCTTAACAATAATAAAAAATCATTATTACAATAGGTTTCCCGATTCAAATCAAATCTTACAATAAAAAGGTTAATAAAATAATATTGGGGTGTTTTGGGTTTTTTATTGGCGTTTCATCATATAAATTCATATATAATATAATATAATAAATTACAATATGTTAGACATAATACTTTTGAAGTTCTCTCTGTCTCTAGTAGTATGTAGCAAGTCTCCAATCGTTTTTAACCCAGTCCAGTGTCGGATATTTCTCAACCAAGACATTTGTTTTCTTTCCATTTCGCATTGGCCTTCGATTCTGCCTTCCACAATCAGTTGCAGGAATTCATATTTTGGATCTCGGATGATATCTCCTTTTTCCTATTTTTATAGTTTTTAGGAGTTGTCTATCTCTTCTTAATCTTGTTAGAACTTATTTATTTGAAACTTTGTCCGTCAAAGGAATCTTCAGAATACGTCGGTAGCACTATATTTTAAACGCTTTAATTTTGTTCTTTGTTAGAATTTTTAAAGTCCACGACTCCAAGCCAAAGAGTAAAATGGACTCTATGATGCTGATATTGCTATTGCATATCAATATCCATATATATTCCATATATATTTATGGAAAGAGTTTCTAACCATCTCTATTCGACTTTTAATTTTTTGATTTGATATGCACTCTTCATTTAGCCAACAACGAAGACATTTAAACTTAGCTACTCTTTCAATAACTTCAGTTCCAATCTTAATGATAGCATCGTTGTATGGTAGTCATTTTTTACTGATAATCATGTACTTGCATTTTTGTTATTCATAGATAGGTCAAAATCTCTACTCTTCTTATTAACTTCATCAAGAACAAGTCTTTCTGAACATCATCACAATTTTGTAATGATGTTCACTAAGAATTGGTGGCTGAAGAGGGTCTCTCGTGTTCCCATTGCTTCTTTAAATCCAAACTGTCCCATCGTTTTATCACATTTCTTGAATAATCGGATGTGTATTATTTTCAAGAGTATTTTTTTAGCATATGACTCATTAAACTTAACATATAAGTCTATATTCACTGCATTTTCTAGCGTTGTTGGATTTGGGTATTGCAATGAATGTGGATTTCAGTCAATTTTTAGGATATACACCACTGTCGTAAATACCATTAAACATTTTTTCTAGCACAACTAGACTGTATTTGTCCAAAAGTTTGATAATTTCTATTGGTATTTCATTTGAACCAACTGAATTTTTGCTTTTAGATAATTTAATGGCTTTTTGTATCTCATCTTTGGTTTTTAAAGAACCTGACAAAGTTCTTGATTGAGATTGTTAATCGTGGTGCGGTTGGTGTTATCGTCAAATACTTATTGATTTATTTTTTAATAACTTATTGACCAAATTGATTTTTTAGTGTAAATTGAAGTAACCGCGTAAGTTTTGGAGTCTTTTAAGACCTGTAAATTAAACTAATAGCGTCGATGTGACCAAAGAACTAATTTACATTACTGGATATTGCAGTGTTTTCACTAAAGCAAATAACTTATGGCTCCTTTTAGAAATATACTTTATACTATAAAATAGTATCTTTTAAATATACTTATATCAGAATACTTATGAGAAGATACGTAATTCAGATAAGTTAGTAGAGTTTTCTTATGATATGGTTAATATCTATAAATCCATAGGCAACTAAATTGGAAGAATATGAATGATGTATTTTCGCATAAGCTACTTTTTTTTAACCAATTACTTCAATCTCACTCTTCAGACATAACTTACTTGTTAGTATTATATTAAAAAATTACAGAAATCCTATGTGTCAACTCAAGTGGTGATTCATAGGAAAATGCGTTATTTTATAGAAAAAATGATAAGATAGACCTATTAATTTTATTAATGTTTATATTTATTTTACAATTTTATGTGAAAAATGCACGATATTAATTTTTTTTAATTACAAACAAACAATTGTTTACTTGCAGTCCAAGTTATATTTTTTATGCATTTTATTTGTTTTTCTAGAAAACACGTGGTATTAGGTTCTGGTTTTAAAGCAACTGTTTTCAATCCGACTCATCCATAACTATTTAGTTTTCTGATTAATCGACTAGTTCAAGTTGACTTCATACCCAAATCTGTTTGGACTTCAGCTTTTAAATTGCAAATGTATTTCATCACTGGAAATATTTGACAAATCTGAAAATTGAAGACACAGAAAAATGTTTTTAATAAGTACACATAGTTATATTTATGAATAAAATTGTCTTATAAAAATTCAACTTATTCATATTAATATTCATAATAAATAAATAACTCAAATATTAAGTTATAATATATTATATAGAAAAATACAAAATTTATTTTGTTCATATAAACTTTTAAATGTTATCAAATACATCATTAGATCCAGAAACAGAATCACCTAACAAAAAAAAAATAAGAAACGAAAATAGGAAAATTTTCTGGATAGCTTCGAACCTGGAAAGTAATCATTCTGATTTAAAAGCAGACAATGCAGGCCAAAAAACTATAATCCCACCAATAGACAAGGCATACTGAATAAACTTTTCGTATGAGAATACGAATCATTTGTAGGTTTTTTAAAACTACGATTAAAAGATAATTTTGATCCAGAAATTGATAACAAACGGGAGACATCATGACCCATGAAACAAATACATAGCTCAAAGTAAAAAGGAAGGTAGCTCGAAGTCAAAATGGAGTGTTTAATCGTTGTATTCAAAATCTATTGGTTCATAGTTATTGTATCCTAAAAATGACTGTAGATATAATCAAAATATCGGTGCAAATAAAATATGTTTTTTAAAACCAATTCCAAAAATTCTATATTATTTAACATTAACCAATTAGATCGTACGAATATATATTAATAATATCTGAAAAAATGCAAAAAACATCACACTCCCGCACCCGAATAAAAATTATATGGAGAGAATATGCTCTTAATATTCGCTAAATTAGTGATAAAAATAAAAAAATTCCCGAAAGATCATAAGAATATAATAAACTATTCAATTAGACACCGTAATCAAACCAGACAACTTTAAGGAACTAGAGATTAACACGTCATTAAATCTTCGTCATTTCAAGACCTTTGACAGAATTTTGCATGTGGGACTGATTGTTAAAATGTAAAACCTAAATATATCGGTTTAACTGGTTGAAATAATCATTAACTTTCTGCAATATATGTGAAAAATTTCATATTAAATTTCATAAGAACGCCAGCCTTATAAATATGAGGCAGTACTTATATGTTATTATAGGTTAAGTTGTAGCGGTGATCCAAAAGAATCCACTTAAGTCTATTATTCCATTGTGTTACACTTATATTATTCATATTATATATATATTATATTATTATATTAAACACTTATATTAGTATATTATTACATTATATGATGTATACAAAAGGATATGATGTTTAGAGATTCACGTTTGTCGGTAACAAAGATTCATGTTTATATTAATATAACACATATGCGAAGTAGGGTCTTGAATATGAATCTGAAATTTGGATCGTAAAGAACAACAAGAAACAGAAACCATAACCTGTTATTAACAGATGCCTTTGGAATATGGTTGAGTATATGGTTGAGCATATAGTAGTAAAAACGAGAAAGCTAATAGGATTACTCCTAATAAAAGAAAATATTGAAAATTAAATATACGGTTAGGATAGATACACCTCACAAAATTGTTATGTCATAAAAAATTAAAGTGAAATGCAGAATATATTACTACAAAACAGGGGTCAAATATGTTAATTTAATTCACTAATTCGATGGTACCTTATAAATAATATATTTATAATCATCTATAATAACATCTATAATAATATTCATAATTATAATAAAATCATTATATTTATTTATAATATCAATATGATTGTATATTAGTTATTTGTACCTGCAATGTATATCAAATCGTGGAGAACATTTGAATCTGTAATTGCATTCGGCATCAGTTATTCCGCAGAATCGTGGTGAACCTTTGAAGCTGTGATTGCATTCGACATCAGTTTTCCCGCAGAATCGTGGTGAACCTTTGAAGTTGGAATTGCATTCGACATCAGTTTTTTCGCAGACTTGTGGTGAACCTTTGAATCTGCAACCGTATTCGCCATCAGTTTTCCCGCAGAAGAAACAGAAGATTTTGCCTAGAAGAAAGTAAATATAAGTACTAAAATAATATTAACAATGATAATCAATTTTCACCTTTTTAGAATTTTCATGAGCAATATGTAAAATTTTTTTCAAAAGTAGCAAACATATTTTATTTTCTATATTATTCAATTGTTTAGGACTCATCCTTTTTTTTGAGGTTATGGTTTTCTGATTTAAAGTACATCGTTTCTTAGTTGAGTGGTTACCGCAGGATTTAAGTTTTCTAGAAAAATCATCTGCATGTTTTTCACAAGTCCCATGGCCGGTCTTGTGTAGCACAGTGGACTTGATTTGCCATTTCTTCAGGTCTGACAAATTACACCATGCATCACGTGCTGCCTTAATTTTGCTACTAACACGAGACTCTTTACTTTGGCATTGGCTTGGTGGGATCAATTTTTTACGACTCTTTTTATGGATAAATCGCTTTTTACGTGTGGAGAGAACATCTTTACTGTTACGCTTGGAACAGACTTTTTGTGAAGCACTAGGAGAAGCTTCTTTACTATTACCCGGAGGTGAATTACTAGCAGACAAAATAGACTTAACCGGACGCTGTTTGGGCAAAGGTTTCTTACAACACAGATCGTAAGCGTAGTTATTTAGCCTAAATTTACCCATTGCTACTTTTGATACTACTGCAAAATTTAGCGAATAAAATAATTTAGATATATACTCATATATAAAACTATATCGAAAGTCTTAATCCTCGAATATTTGGAAAATTCTTGTAACAAAAGAAAAAATTTATTTTTAAAATGTTTTGCTTTTCGAATACAAATATTTGAAAAATTTCAATAGAAAACTCGATTAAAAAAAAAATAATAATAATGAAGTACTTAAAATAACTAACGCTGAGTTATGTCTTATTCCAATATACTTCATATTATGATATAAAAAATAATATAAACTACAATTTCAATTTGTAAAACAAGTATTTCCAAATCTGAATCGATTGATATCAATTTTACCACGAATATTTCATTCGATATTAGATGCTAAAATTATAAACTGGAAGCAAATGCATTCAAAAATTAAAAAGAGTTTATAAGCATAACACATTCCCAATTCATTGGTTTATAAATCGAACTATATTTTAATCGAAACCGAACAATCTGTCTGGACACCGTTCACACCGATAGAAGTCTTAAATGACTAATATGGACCCTGCCTCAAAGTAATGCTAACGTAGTCCTGGGATAGGATAAGGTCTCTTGGAATGAGTCGTGCGATTGCGAGTCCATTCGAGTTGGGAACTCACTTTTTGAGGCACCGCATCGTAGCCAGTGCGTAGGCATTTTCCTCTTATCCGCTTCGGTAAACAAAAATAGTTAACACTTATATCCAAGTTCTAAATTTAAAGTACTTACATTAGTATTTTATACAGCTAGCAGTTTATATGCCAGCTTTATTTAAATCTGAACTAATAAAAATTAAATTTTGTAAATTCTTTCATATAAATAATACATAATAATAATAATATATAATAATAATAATAATACATAATAATATATTTAAAATTTTATTTCATATAATGCCAAATATCTTTATTCAAAAGGAAGGATACATATATACAACAGCTATAAGATATAGTGATTTGATTAGAAGTATCTGTACAAAGTTCCATTTGAATAGCTTAACAACTAAGAGCCCTGTTTCAACTACACCAGGCAGACACACAGGGCGAAGTAAATTTAATTCGGGACGCTTATCAGAAATATACATATTTAATGGGGTCGAAGATATGTCTTGCGGCACATAAATTTTGACAAACCTAATATACTGTTATTGTATTATTTTTTGTGAAGGTAACATATAAAGAAGTATTGATAGTTTTACTTCTTTCACGGCTGAAATATGTAACTCGATGATTTAGGTCATTTTACCAAATGTCTTCCAAATATTGCCGGAGTCACTGTACACAAAATTTTTTTTTTATTTTATATCAAAAATTAAGTTTGCGGGAAAATAAATAAGCATATAAAAATTGACGGATGCTATAGAGATAAATAGGTATAATCGTATTCTGTACAGTTTTCCCAATGTCATCTAATCAGCGTTTGAGTTAATATCTTGTCTTATAAACAAATACCTAGTTCTTACCACTATGACACTAGATCTAGGCCACTGTTTTGATAACTGTTTCAAAGGCACATATTTCGAAACCGATAGTAGTGATGCGATCATCAAATCAAGAATTTTGTACCTTAAATTTCTAACTGTTTATAAGGTCGCTTTAAGGATTATTACCTATTCGATAACTTTAAAAGTATATTTTGCTTTATTTCTCACTTCCTATTTCATTTATCTCTCTCTATTGTTAAATATATAACTTCTTGATTTTTCTTCTTGAGTTAGTGCTATTACGCACTTTTACTCTATAATGGATGAGGGGCTTATATCTACCACACACTAGGCTTTAACTAAAAAAAGAAAAATTTAATCTGTAATTTATTAAAGTTCAAGTTTAGATAATCTAGTATGTATGATATTTTTATAAAAAACTAATAGTAAGTTTTAATTTTTAATTTGTTTTATGTGTTAAAATTATATAGTAAATGTGAACGTATTTACCTTTTAAATTATTTATCTAATATTAAAATGGATCAAATAGAAAACATGTTGTTGGAAGCTCACAATCGTATAAATCCCAATGAAAACATTGCACACATCTTACAGGTCCAAAATCCAGTGGTTTGTCATCAGCATTTAATACCCTCGTATCGTCAGTTGATCCTTCGCCAACGACGTCGCCAAGAACGCAGCTCTCGGAACATATAGATGTATTTTTTTTATAGAATCATATGTATGATCAACAATTTACTTTTTCGTTTTACAGGTGACTGTAAAAACCTATTTTGATGAACTTGGATAGAACCTTATCTGGGGTTTTGGAGATTGACGCAACCAAAATATAAAAATTTGTAAACTGACAAACAAATATACATAACCCATTTAATAAAATGAAGTGCATATAATTAAATTAATATAAGCTATCTTAATTGTCATTTGTAGTCTCAAGAACTTATAGATTATCAGAGCAGTATTATCAGACTTAAGAACGAATTCAGACTATCTTTCTTTCAATTTAATTTCTCTAAGCGTATGAACAAGTGTGGTTCTGTATAGACCACAGAGCCTTTGTTATCAGTAGAAAGCAAATTTTGTTATAGGAGAACACAACTATCTGGCTATATAAATAATTCACATTTATTAATTCAAGTTTTTCTGCTCTCCTCCAATTAATGATCTGCATATCAGGGCACATTGAACCTTGCGGGTTCCAGCTTAGTATCTATCAAGCAATATTATTAGTTAGTATTGTAAGAACAAGCCAGTTCCATTTGCTCGTTAGTTAAATGATGTACATTAGATAGTGTGTTGTTCTCTTAATGATGCACCCAAGGATAAGTATAAGCAACACAAATGCAATAAAATATATCTTTGTCATACATCTGCCTTTATAGCAAATTATTAATGGACTTGTCTAGAATGTTTTATGTGGCATTAAAAATTATAATGGAGTTCAAAAATAAGATTGCTTAAACATTTGTTTAACTTTGTGCGCTTTGTACGGAGATTCATACGGAGACGAATGTACCCGCATATTTTGATCACTACAAAGAGATAAAGGAATTCAGAAAGCTGCTGTAGCTTCAGAAGAGTAGAATATAGCTACGTTGCGATGATAGATATATTACTAATTAATGAACAGTGATTTCGAAAAAGGTCACACAAATATTAAGTACTCTATAGTGCAGTCGGGCTATAAAGATGTCCAATCGCAGCTACTGAAAATGTTATAACTCCAACATATGGCAGTCGCTATAATTGAAATTCAAGAATAGTTACTAGGATTGTTTGATCATTCCTATTAACTATTTATTTTGGTTTTTTGTGACATTTTTAATACCCAAAGTTGAAAACTTGACTTGTCGTAAAAAAAAAACATTTTAAATCCTTTAAGGTGATGTACTATTGAATGGGTTACAGCAATTGGAGCGTCATTTAGTATAGCACTTGGAATATATCTAATTAATAGGATACTGTATAAAACAAAATATATCACAAAAAACTTAAAAATCAGCTTTTCTACATTAGGCGCAAAACTCTTTTAGAACTTTTCTCGTACATTTGCTCTTTACTATTTTTATACATAAGCCAATAGTCTATTTTACGCTCGTTTATCTATTAAACGTAAAGATGTTCTATTTGATTGCAATTTCTTTTGCATCTTTGTCCATTTTTGGAGCTGCTTGCAATTAATTTAAAAAAATTCGTTCAATTTTAATTAAATTCTATGATAATTTACTACTTTCTCTTGGCAAAAGGATTTCTCTACTTACTTTAAGTGCTAATAAATTTTTACAATTTTTTTTTAAATTTATTCATGTATTCGTTTAACTTTCTTCCAGCAGCCATTGTTACTGCTTCAGAATATTGCGAAAAATGCTATAGTAGTATTGGTTAGTACTGTTGTTGTTGTTGTAAGTTCTATACTGCAAACGTAAGCGCAAAATTTTTAGTTTCATCCTACATAACTGACGTTGATTTGACTTTTCTGATACTCAACCTCAACCTCACCCTCTCTACCATACTCTCTACTATCTATACTTCATTACTTTCCTTCGAAATAGCAGTAGTCTTACATACTCACCACTACATGGAGTATTGTAATGGCGTAGATGGTAGGATATTGACTGCTCTTAGTCCTTTGTGCTGGCGGCTGTACCGGAAGTATGAAACAGAAATGTATGTAAACATTGCATTAAGTACAATAAAATAATTAAAGTCAATTAGTGTTTTCGCTTTGTTGGCATTGTTGTTGTCGTTGCTTGTTGTAATCATTACTATAATTGTTTTTGCTGTAGTGGGTAATGCTATTGTCGTTCCATTGTGGCCTTAATGTCGCTTAAAGCCACAATGGATATGTTATTTTGGTACAACATCATAGCACAAAATGCACACTCGCTTGTAGTTCTAGGCATTATCACTTTTAGGCGCACCGTAATAACGTTATGTGCGTTGGTTAAAGTGGTGAACGTTGTTGTGGTACCGCTAATATTGCTGATGGAGCACTTGAGAGAACTATGGTTGCTTTGCTGTCTTCGTTTCCAAATGCACATTGACAAGTTTGTCATAATTTATTTATTTCTTCCTGACTTCTTTTCTCTGCCAACTCCATATAACTTTTGATGTTTCATTTACACTCATGTGGAAAGGTCTAAATAAATCTATGGCAGTATGTTGGATATTAATAAGTGTAAAGGGACTAGAAACCCTTCTCTGAGTATATCAACTTTGCACAATAATTTCATTATCTTATAATTTTTAATGATTTTTATTAACATTGATGATATGTGATTGATATATGATAAACACATAGGTATCAATGGGAAAAAATTATTTTGACAATAAAAATAACTAAAAAAATAATAAAAACTTTCTTACATCAAAACCACGGGGATCGCGAGTAAAAAACCCGTGCTCAAAAGAATAAAGTACCTCAAAAATAAAATAGGGCATTAGAACAATTATACGGTTAGGCGAGACATCAATTTATCTACAGGTCATCTTATACCTAAAGTCATGCCAAATTGAGAATGACAGGTAAAAAGAAATTTCGAATTAAATTTAGTTATGGTGATGAGTCTACCTCTGCCTGAATTTTACGTCTATTATGCGTAACATACCATATATGTGTAACTTTTGATTTTAGGCAAAAAAAAAAAACAGTTAAAAAACCCAGGTGTTAAATTAGAAAATTGACAAGCGTTATATGATTCACTGATGAGGGCTTGATGAGGTCTGCCGTAATGGATTAATTAGCAAATAAAAAAACGATGATATTTCAGTTGCAATCATATAACTTTAAGCAAACTTTTTACGAAATATGGTGGTCTTGGTCAAAGTCCAAAACTTCTTATTTACAAAATAAGAAGCGGGTGTTCTTGAAGGTTTCCCATTGTATCATTTATTCTATAAATTATATATAGCAGATATTCTTTTGGGATTTATGAGCTCAATTTCGCTTTAAGCTGATAATAACGCTAATTCTGTTGTAAATGAGTTACAAATTCAATTTTTACAATAATCCAAGAAATAAAAAAATCAATAATATGGAAATGGAATGGGAAGATGATGTGAAACTCTTGGGTCTAACTTTTGATAGAAGATGTACTTGGCTATAGAGTGTAAGGGTCGAAAATCTAGCTTCTACTATACATATAAATCTGAAATCATTAATACAAGAAAAGTTGATTGTGAAAAAAGCTCTGGTAATTAATTGGGCTAGTAATTAGACCCAAACTACTTTATGTTTGTATTCCTTATGGCGATTTTGCTCCTTATACCATTAGAAAACATTAAACTAATTTAAATTTAGTATTGACATAATATATATAATCTTCCAATCAATATATCTTTGACATAATATCCTATAAATATCTGTATATAGGTTTAAGCTACTTTGAAATATGATATATGTTGATATATATATCAATAATATATGATATATATTATCATCAAAAATAATATATTTTGTGTCGTTTTTATGAGGTTGAATAATTTTAAGTCTGATATATAAAAACATTATTATATTTTAATAAAATATTATAATTATAATATAATTATAAATTATATTATAAATAATTTAACTTTATTTGCTAATATATTCTTCTTCAACTATTCGTGCCTTTAGGTATAAAATTTCTATATGTTTTCAATGTTTATATATTATATATTTATATTATTTATTTATATTATATATTATTTCTTATTCTTCACTTCACTTCCTTATTCTCACATAATTTTGAAGCTTGCGAATATGTAGTAGGGAATGGGTGCCAGATCTGTAAAAATCCGTAGATATGGTAAAACTTTGAAGTGAAATTCATTTAACTAAGTTTTCATTATAGTCGGATTGAATGATAAACTGTTTCTTGTTTTGTATTTGAAGTAGTTTCTTTACGATTTCATCTTTTAAAAACATAACCAATGATGTTTAACAATCAGATTGATGGTTTCTTCCCCTTTCCAAGATTATCCATGAATATTATACCGTATATTATACACAAACTTCATAGTCTTCTAAATCGACTTTAGCTTGGTATTTTTTTTATTGCTTTTGAATGGGTTATACCATAGATAAAATAAATCTAGAATTGAAAAGTAACACAAAAATTGTTCGATAATAGTTATAATTCTAAGATTAGCTTTCGTCTCCTATATTAGTGTCAATGAATATTGAAATAATGTTAAATATAATTAATTACAAAATCTCCCACTAAACAGTATTCTTAGCTTTGCCAAAGGTTCAAGGTGGTGAAAACCCTGAGTTTTCTCGGTATACGGTCACACAGTGGGTCAATAGGTCTAAGTGAAACCACTAAGTATCTTTGTCTGAATCATATGAAAACTCAAGACATTTAAATAGAGTATGCTATATAACTTAATGTATTAAGCCTACCTAATGTTGCTGAAACTGTTGGGAGGTTAATCTGGGTCTTCTATTATTTTACATTCTTTACGTAAATCAACGGGTTTAACATATCTTTGGATTTAAATTTTCAAACCTTAGGTTCAATTAGATTCAATGAAATCTAGAAAAGAAAATGTTACAGTTCCCAAAATTTTTACTCAACAAGTATAAAGTCACTGGGCTACTTTCGTCAGTCCGAGAATTTATGGGAATAGAGTTGACTTGGCTTGATAACTGAGTTATACTGTTTACAATACTGTTTCGTATTGTAAGTTAATTCCATGTTGGGTATAATTTCTAACATACGTAATTCATTTTAATTAATTATGTTGAAGCTATTTGAGCCAGTGCACTTGAGCACTTTTACTCTTTATTAACTCTGGGTATCTTCAAAACCCCTCTTTACACCTTGACTGGATTATTGTTTATGACTTCATCAGACTAAGCAATAATTGACCTCAAATCTGCATACCTCCCCGAGGAGCCTGAAATCATTCTGAGATTCGATAACGCGTTGTTGGTAAGTCTATCAGTTTTCGCAAATAATTTCAGGTCTCTATCCTTTATGTATTCATTTTAATTAACTCTAATTTTGGATAGAATAATTACTTAATTATTGAAGAATTTGTATTTTTGAAAATTCATAATGATTCATTTATTTTATCATTCTGTCTCAGAATGAGATTATAAGTATGTATGGTTCATAAACCAAATGTTTTCTATACGATAGTATGTAAGTTAAAGTCCATTATTTTATGCACTGTGTTCTTGTACCGACGCCACGTCAGTTCTGGTTCCCACCTTATCTAAACCATTTATGGAAAAACAGCTGAACATTACATCTGTTTTGTATGGTTTGTTTAATTTAGATTTCGTACCAGGTAAGCACCAAACGGTGATTAAGTAAGAAACACATTGGTCAGAAATCAAGTTCAAAATCCAAGCTCAGTATAGACGTCTGCAAACAATCGCAATCATAACATAAACAAACTGCCAAAGCAACACGCCGTCGAGTGCAGAAAACATATGTGTTCTGTAATGTGAACTACTTTAGTACCAGAAAGCAGACAGTTTTTAGTATCTTAAGCATAAACAGTTCACTCCATACGTGTAAGCCACCGAGCCACCGAGCCACCGAGTCACACACAGACCGCAACAACAACGCTACGTATTCGTGCATCTTATAAAAGCGTTGAGCATGTGCAAAAGCGGTCAGTTCCTCACGGTAATCGCAACTAGTCGCAATAGCCATCGGTAGAAGTGCCTATAAAATATGAAATAAATAAAAATTAAATATTGTAAAAATATATCTAAACGAAAGTAAAAGTGACAACAGTGAACGTAGAGAGCGAGAAAAACGTTCTATAAAATAAAGTTGAATACAGTTATAGAAGTTATAAAAGTAGTTATTTTTTATGCGCAAAGATACATGTGAGCGCATATCATTTAATGCTATTCTAAGATATTTACAATAACAACATAAAAATATTTCAAATTAAAATTCATTGCCAACGCGTTGGAAGTTTTTACTGAAATCGAAAATGTTTAAAATTCCGCAAATCTTGTTTATGTTCGCGGCGGTGGCCTTTTGCGCGCCATACGAGAATCAAGATACAAAGCTCAAAGATATCGATAATAAATATGAAAAGCAGTTAGAACCGATCATTAAAAATTTTGCAAATAGTTTCACAAAATCAAATGCTGAACAAAAAATGGCTGAGGAAAATCTGAATTTCTTCTACATGCAATCATTGTATGCAGGGGCATTGTCGATGAGAGCAATGCAAACAGAACGTTCTTCCGATATACCAACGACAACTGCCACAACCGAGGATGAAACAACCTTCTTGCCCCACGACCGAGAAATGACAACAGAAAAGTCTCATAAGTCTGGTAAGGAGGAGGAATCAGCAACACAAATTAATATTTTTGTTTCACCACATATAGATGTACAGAATTCACAAACCTCTTATATAATGCCAAAGAATCAGAACGATGAACAAAGTACTGATCAATATGAATATCCCAAGTCTAGAAAGGAAGAAGTTGAAGCAACTTTTGGTGCTATGTTCAAAAACGTTGTCAATAAAGAGACCATTTTCAGTTCTCGAAGTCAAGATGAGAATGCAATACCAAATTTGGACTACGGTATGGAGCATGAATTGCAAAAAGAAATTCAAACCAAACTAGCGGCAACGGTCCCACAATCGATACTTAAGCAGTCAGAACATACTACTGAAAATGGATTTATTTTTGGTTCAATGAAGAAAAAAGTCGACGATCCATTGACCTCTCAAGAACAATTAGAGAATAAATCTTTCTCTTCAAGTCGTCCTTATGAAGAAGAGTCACGAATTGTTACAACCAACGAACCGGTAAAAAAATCTATTTACGTTACAGATAGGTTAGAGTCCAATATCAGAAAACCAATTGCTGATGAAAGCATACCTCAAGAACCATCAACTGCAAAATCTTCAATTTCTGATCATCTTCACGTTACAGATTCAGACAAAGCAGATTCCCAGATCAAAAAAACGATTGCTGCTAATAAGGAAACAGCTACTGATACTAGCTTGCCACAGGCACGCACTGAACCAAAGAATTCGGACGCAGCTGCTATGTCATTAGTAAATAAGGCAGTTGACGCTTATGAACCTATTTTAACACCAGAAATTGAACAGAAGTTTTCAAATGAACAGGAAGATAGAAACAATGTAGAAAGAAAAGAAATAGCACCAGTCTTGTTAACGACTGAAACTCCTTCAGCAGAGTCAGCAAAAGATGTTTTGACTGTTTTCGTACCAGAAGATTCAACATTTATAAATAATGCAAAATCAAAAACAATGACTGTTACTCAAAATGAAAATAATCTTGAAGCAACAACAAGTGCTACAGTTAATGTACTTTCAACAACCAAAGGAAAAGTCATAGATGAGACCACTCTTATACCTGAGGGTAAAAAGGAGTTATCAGGCGCAGAAAGTTTATCAAATGCAAACATTTTCGACCCAAAGGAACTTGATGCACAAAACCAATCAGAAATTAAAAACGGCTTACCTACAAGAGTCTCGGCCAATGGGGAAGCTTTAAAAGTGATCGATATAGATGCGCATACTACAATAACTGAACCAGCAATTGTTGAAAGTGTAGAAAAACAAATCGAAAGTTCAAATGTACAAAATCTCAACGAAGCAGTTTTCTCTAGAAAACCAACTAGCAATTGGTTCGAAAATGGATTAAGTCCCGAAACTAAAGAATATCTCACAACAACACCGGATATGGATGTATTCGAAAGAACAGAAACAAGAACTGTAAATGTTATTAAAAATCCAGTGAACCATCGCACAACTACTAAGAAAGTAGATCATAAAACAGAAGCTGCGAAGAATGCTAACATTCCACTAACAACCACTGATACCACGGATGTTACTACAACCACAGAAAAACCCACTGATTTGCGTGAAGTTACAACAGTAGTGGATGGCAACATGAATGTATTGGGTATAACGGACGCCACTACTATTAATGATGACAAAAATAGTGATATAACAACTATATCAAGTACTTTAAATAGTGACTCTCCAACGGAATCAAATACTACAGACATATCAAATATAAAAGAAACTACAGTCGATAGTGTTACTGCAGAAAGTGATACCACACAAAAGCCTGCAAATATAGCTGACATTATACAGGCTATGGCAAAATATGTCATGACAAATGGAACTGTAGACATGTTGAACAATTCTGAATCAAAGCAGAGAAATGACGAAGAAATAACAACACCCATTACTATTATAACTGATGCTACTACCAAATTCGAAATGACTGAAGATACCACACTACTACCAGAACAACAAACAGAAGTTTTTATAATTGACAAATCAGAATTGGAAAATGGCAATTCAGAAATTGAAATGGTAAGTGCCACGACGATGGATGCAATTATCTCATCTAGTGTGAAACCAGGTTTTTCATCCTCTATCACAACAGTTGAAACAACAAACCAAGCTTCTAATTTGGATATAATTCTATTACCACCATCACTTGTAACAGAAACACATGCTCCTATAAAAACACCTACAACAGAATCCGTAGCCTATGCAACAACAATGAGAGACATTGTAGTACCAAAAACCATAGTGGGTGCGACATTACCAAGAAAACCGACAACTGAACCAGATGAGTTGGAGTTACAAATAATGAAGCCAACACCCAGAGTTGAAAGTACTTTACCATTCACTACCGAAAACACTAGATCCGTTGAAACTACCTTAACTGCGGAAACAACAACATATAAAACACCAATAAGTGAAACGGAATCATATGGAACTGCTACTAATGTTGCAACCACTGAAATGAACCCATTAAGATTAAGCACCGTTCAAGATTCCACTGCAATGTTTTCAATGTCAACAGATGATGATCAAACCGAACAATCCAGAATTTCTGAGAGCACAACTCTGACCAACAAAATGCCTGAGACCGCTGCAACAGAAATATCGGAGGTACTGGATATTACCAAAGTAGAGCAACAAGTCGGCAATAGCAATAATCCTGCCTCCATGAAAAAAGTTCTAACCGAACCTGAAATCACTACACAGACCATTCCTCTTCGTAGAAAACCACCAGTGAAAATCAGTCGTATTTTAAGCGATGAGGGAGTCGAAGTTTACTACGGCTATTCTAATGTAGAACGCAATTAAAAAATTATATTTATTTCTATTTACATTATATATTATAAAATATTTATAAACTTCATTATTTATTAAACTATATACTTTTAAGAAACTACTTTCTTAAGCTTAGCAGAGACACCAACCAACTAAAGTGCAAAGGTTTACCAGCAGAAAAGGTATATACACGATACACTTGCCCAGAGACTTAAATATTTGCTAAATACTATCAACATTTTTATTGTTCCAATTTTAGTGATTTTGTTTCCGGAGCTTCTGCTTTGACTTCTATTGACTGATCGTACATATGCCATAAAATTATTTAATTAAATTTAAATGAGTTATAAAACCTTCAGATAATATTACAACATAAGAGTATGGCTTATAAATCTAAATAAAGCTTCAGCCTTTTTATATTTGTATAGCAAAAGCCGCACGAGATACGAAAAATATTTAAACTATGTGATAATACGAGTATATGAAAAATCCAGTTCTTCTGAAAGCTATTATCTTTAATAAATATATAAAATATACATATATATATATATATATGTAAGCATTTGTTAAATTATTAAATAAAACATAAATAAAGTCAATATAAATTTATATACCAAATGATAAAAAACATGTTTTAAATGAGCAGCCATGAGGCTGCATAGATACTTGAACGTATTTAAAAAAACATAATAAAAAGCTTAAAAGATTGAAATTGAATGAAAAAAAAAACTCAAAAGAAAAAACTTATATTTCCACTTGGGTTTCTAGATACAAAAGTGAAACATTGAGGAAAAAACTTTATGGAATTTTGGCATATGTGTGACATAATAAGATTCGTGCACTCTCTTGCCAGAGTTAAACGACTGCCACCTTAAAATGATCTCAAATGCCAAACCGCAACAAGCAAGCGCACCACCTGCAACGAGCCCACGAGCTAACAAGCCAACAACCCAACAAACCAACAACCCAACAAACCAATAAGCCAGAAAGCCAGCAAGCCAACTTTTCAACCAGTTAGTCATTGTACCCATAAGACTGAGTGTCTGTCCGCTTACGTTTGTCCATCCGCATACTCACTCTCTTCATCCAAATTGAATATGGGCACTTCCACGAAATTCCGGCAATACGATCGGTATTTGCCGATCGGGCAATTGGTATACAGCCGTAAGATTTTGCAGTTAAAAGTAGTTGCCTTTGTTACTGGGTTTTTTTTTTCCAATTTAATTGAGCTTTTAATAAATTATTCATTCAAAAATTTTCGCAATGCTTGCAGTCGTGGTGAGCTACATTCGGTCAAAACGGTCTTATGATTAGTTATCTATAAAAAAAATTACATCTTCAGTGAAATTAAAACATTGGTTATTTTAGTTTCTAGTTTTTTTTTCTCAATTTATTTTGAACTTTTAATAAATTATTTATTCAAAAACTTTCGCAATGTTCGCAATCGTTGTGAGCTACATTCGGACAATAATTTGGTATCATAAATTATTTACAATATATAACCGCCCACCTTCAACAAAATAAAAACAATAGTTGCCTATATTACTGAACCATCTTTATAGATTATTTGAGCTTTAAATAAAATATTTATTAAAAAAATGTTCACAATATTTGCAACTGTTGTGAGCTACACTCGGTCAATAAGTTCTTATCATAACTTAACATAAGTACAGAATGTTCAATCTTCATTAGAGAAAGAGCGATTGGATTCCAAAGAATTTTTGTTTAAAAACATCATATCGACTTATTTGCTTTTGGGAATGAAAGTAAATTGTATAAATACGTCTATCTCTTATGATACTGGCAATGTAGTTAAACTTAGTCTATCAGTGGGTATGAGAAAATTTATAAATATCTTAGTCGACATAGTTTGAGCAATTTTTGTTATTATTTTTATTAGATTATATTATTTTAGCTATCTTTTTAGCTTGAAAACAATACCAATGCTTTTTATATGACTTATGTTATGTCTTTTAATGACAATTCTAATAGCATGGTGTATGTGTGTTCTTACACACATACACCATACCCCTGGACCACAAAGGGTATAGGTTCAAATGTCTATGTCTTAAGCTCTACTTACTACGGAAGTCTATATAAGGGAAGGACTCTATAAGGGAACCAGTATGTTTATGTATGGTTTTCAACTAGCCAGATTATACTAACCTAACCTATGTTTTAAGCTCTACTTACTACTAAAGTCTATATAAGGGAAAGATTATATAAAGGAACCAGTATGTTTATGTATAGTTTTCAGCTATCCAGATTATACTAACCTAACCTATGTCTTAAGCTCTACTTACTACTGAAGTCTATATAAGGGAAGGACTCTATAAGGGAACCAGTATGTTTATGTATGGTTTTCAGCTAGCCAGATTATACTAACCTCTAACCTATGTCTTAAGCTCTACTTACTACGGAAGTCTATATAAGGGAAGGACTCTATAAAGGAATACTCTATGTATGGTTTTCAGCTAGCCAGATTATACTAACGTAACCTATGTCTTAAGCTCTACTTACTACTAAAGTCTATATAAGGGAAAGACTCTATAAAGGAACCAGTATGTTTATGTATGGTTTTCAGCTAGCCAGATTATACTAACCTAACCTATGTTTTAAGCTCTACTTACTACTAAAGTCTATATAAGGGAAAGACTCTATAAAGGGACCAGTATGTTTATGTATGGTTCTCAGCTAGCCAGATTATACTAACCTAACCTATGTCTTGTTGTAGCGTGCAACTTAAGTCAGTAGAGTTCAAATTTTCTGAGAGTAAACGAAATCTGTATCATTTTAGCTAAATTTGGACATACGTCATGTCGCTCGGTGAGCATCAACATAAGCACCCAAAACAAATGCAGATACAAGTATGTATGTTTGAATATATGAATATTTTCGTGTCATTAAATTTTATTCATTTATTCAGTTTTTTTTTTGAAATGGTTTCGGTTTATCGTTGATCTTAAAAGTTCACACTTTGACCAAATTTTTTGATGGCTCGGTCTCATGCAAGTGGTCTGCACGCAAATGCCAACGACTTTCATTCAGAAATCGATGTTGCCAAAGACTCGTTGCGTTGGCCATTCATTGACGTGATCGCCACACAATGCGCGCCATGATGTGCGTAGGGTGTTTGAACTTCAACAAGGTCAGACGATCGAAGCAAATTTGTGATTATGTGATTTATTCGTTTTGATGTGTTAATGCCGAGTTGCAAAAGATAGTTGTTATCAATAAATAAAACGTTTACGGATTTTTTATGGGTTTTATGCAGATAATTTCCATTGTTGGCTGCCGCTATTCATGCTTTTCATCGAATTCGTTCGTTCAGAAAAAACCCTTGAAAATTGAACATAAATATTTCGAACTCGATTTTCAACAATTTGGATAGTTGTTTTTTTTTCTCACTAAATATATTTATTTTTCCGTTTTTTTTTGTTTTTGTTTTTATTTTTTTGTGAAGGTTACTAAATTCATTCATATCGAACGCATGACGAGAAAGTTGTTTCAGTGATGGAAAATGTAATAGGGAAGTAAACATCATATTCAGTAAATGATGTAAAATTTGTGATATCGAAGTGTGGAGAACGTAAATCTAGAGATTTTTTATATGCCAATAACAGTTATGTTAAGTAAAATTTAGAAATTGTGGGCGTGGCAGTTGAGGCGCTGTATTTGTAAACAGCAACCGTCTGTAAGATCGGCTGGCTGTGTTGGAGCACATCTTCAAAATGTTACTTGCTCAATTCGCGGAATTCCATAAGTAAATACTCGTAAGGTTACTGTGTACGCAGTGGCGGGTATGTCAGGTTCCATTTATTATTCCGTATAAGTTAAGTCACAAACAAGTAGCAATCCATGGTGGAGAGGTGTACAAACTCGTTTTCGCTTAATGCAAATTGCATCGAAATTACTTTCAATTTCTGCTCAATATCAGACGAGAAACGTTTTTCTAAGCACCACGTGCCGCGAGCAAACCACTGCTCTGCAGGTCTTAGACGTTCTCCAGTGTTGAAAATTATAGTTGAGCGATTACAAATATTGCAGCTTAATATGTTATAATTGTTATATAAATATTTAAACTTGAATGGAAAAAAATAAACATTGGCATTTGCTTAAGCAACTTTGCGTGATTCATTTCTCATTCAACTTTGGCAGAGACCTACATGGTTGAAATGTAAACCCCGTTTATATAAGGTTTATTTCTTTGAATTACACATTTTTAAAAAATTTATTTATGACAAATAGTATATTACACACTTATATAAATCTAGATGCAGTGCTACATATACATAGTATAAGTATCCATATGATGCAAATTATATATAAGGAAGGTTCCAATGTAAATATGGTATAATTTTTTAAAAATAGTTACTTATAGTGACACCATCTATTGATTAAACAGCTGTTAAGGCTGATTGTTAACTGGTATATGAATAATAAAAGCGGAGTTAAAGTATTGTAGTGATGACATCTGTTGATAAATTAGATTAGATCAACCGATTAGACTGATGTTGCGTAAAATTTCATGTTATTAAGACAAATGAAATCGAAGTTAAAGCATTATAGCGACACTATCTGTTGATTATTTAGTCTATAAGGCTGATTGCTTACTGACATACTGTCCAAATGAAAAGATATCTAAATAAATAAAATCAGAGCTATAATATTGTAGTAACGCCAGCTATCGACAAATGCATACTGATTTTTAACTGATGTTTTTTTAAAATTTCATGATATTTAGACAAATAAAAGCGAACTGATAACAACTAAAGAGTCAGTCTTCCCGGAATTTGGAACATAAGTTTTCAAAAGCTTCTAAACTGCTAAACTTCTAGGAAACTAAAAAACAATTTCCTTTAATCAGCTAATGCCAATTATCTTTCTATGGTAGACAAAGCCACATGGTGCCCAATTAGATAAGTACCATAAGTAGTTAAATATACTGATTATGTAATAACAATTTAATTTTATACATATATATTATATAATTTAATAATATTTATTCAAAATTAACTTTAAAGACTAAGATAATTAATCTAAGCCTCCAGCAGTTGGCAATATTGCCATAGATGTAAGGTTCTAAGGCAAATATATAGTACACATCAATTTTGTTTTGAATCATCTATATATATAATATATGTATTATTTTTTTAACCTATTTTTAAAAAATATAGGTGCTTACCATAAACCCACTTAAGATATTGCATAGAATAAGTTGAAAAAGCAACTATTTATACTTATCAAGTGAATTTATATAGCTGTGGTGTATGCGTTTGTTCTAAAAATAGCACAATAAGTGTTTTTATTGTTTGCAAATTTATAAAATATGTCTGAAAACAAGACTTCAAAAGTGAATAAAAGAAATTTAATGTATATTGGCTTTGAGTGGTTCAATGTGACAGCACTGGATTTCTAACACTTCCTGTCCAAAAAGTGTGTATGGACAATTGAACCACAAAATGTGCTCAAACGTGATTAATGATTGTAACCAAAAATTCCCTTAATTACAAATTTAATTTTTCAATCTAAACTATCCTCTCAAA